GAGGTACAAATCAGCTGTGATCTTATAGAATGGCGGAACAGACTTGAGGTGCTGAATGGCCTACTCCTGTTCCTATGTTCTTGGGCTCCGAGTCTGTTTGTCCAATTTTCGCCTATTTGTATTGGGTTTTGGTGTGAAGCTGGTGTAAATCCTGCTCGCTTGCTTGCGATGCTGTTGAGTGTTTTGCTGAAACAGCCTGTCCGACGGTGGTTGTACACAAGCTGATAAATGCAGTCAATGCAAGTGTTTCCCTCTCTGCTCTGCAAACAAGCTTAGGAGCTTTTTTTAAAAGTCTATTTTTAATGTTGTTAAATCACCTGTATATTGGTTTCTTGTCTTAACATTGTCTTAATATTAAAACAAGCTAACTCTGGCTAACAGGACTCTGAGCACTTTCTTGCTGTGCTCTTCACAGTCCTGGCAAACACGGCGTAAATGCCTCTTCCTGCTCGTACCCCTAACAGCTGGGACATTGATAGTGGTGAGATGAAGAGCTGATAGATTGATAGACGCCCCTGTTCTTTGACCTTCTGGGTAGGTTGAAATTAAAAGGTTCAAGGTCATTTGAGGGACCATTGTCGTCATCCCATCTCTGAGCACACCATTTTGTCTTGTGAAAGTCTCTGGAAGAATGCGTTTCTGTAAATTGTGAAATATTTTCAGATCAAAATTGCACTTTAAATTCCAAAGCCATCTTCCCGGCATCTCGTGCTGAGATTTGTAGCTCCTCGTTAGACCTCGCTACTCGCATTCAAAGTGGCTTTTGATATCTGTAGCCATATGGAGCCTTAATATCGGCGACTGCATATGAAGGAAAAATGGCCCCAGTGATCAGAGCGGCACTCTGTGTTACTGCAAAGTGCACTTGTTCATCAGTGGAGGGTGGACAGATGAAGGGTGAAAGCACGATCCAGAGAGAGAGGAAGGCGTCAGTCAGAAGGAAGACTGGTGAGGAAAGGTTCGGACTGCACCCAGGCATTTTTTTAAAGAACGGATAAATGGAGCAGCAATTGTAGAAGGGATGGTAACTGTCAGATAGAGAAAAGTCAGGGGCTGTGTTCGAGAGCAGTTCTGCCATTCAGGTATAACTGAAGTCCTGTAGCTCAGTCGTTAGAGCTCTCGCCTCACAAGCAAGAGATCCTGGGTTCGATTTCCGGACAGGGCGAAACCTCAGACAAGTTTCCTTACTCCACACGCCTCTGCTTACCTATCAGTAAATAAGAACCTGCAAAAAAGAATTTTAAAAAATGTGATCATTCAATCCACGACTGTTTGTGGGACGCTGCTGTGCCCAGTTGGCTGCCTGTTTCGCCCACTAAGTATACAGTCAGTTCACTTTACGGGTATTTTCTGTGAAGCGCTTTGAGAGTTCTCGAAGACACGATTAAGGCACTATATCAAATGCAAGGAGTGTATAATAACTGTACCAGTGTAGCTCACAAATACACTGTTGATGATGTACATTCCAGAAGAATGCAAAATATAGCTGTGATATTTATATATTTTTTTGATTGGGTCATAGCAAATGATACAATGTGCATCACCTTCATTTTCTGACCCTGTAGGTTCTACATATTTTAATTTTGTCAATTTTACACCAGGCCTTGGTAACGCCATGTCAAAATAGTGAGATACACACAGTGATATCAAATGTACATTGTGAGCCCAAGAAACTCTACATCTTCATACATCACCTAATGGCAGAATCTATGGTTTGGTGCCACTTGCTCACATGGAGATTGTGGGTGGAGCACATTCTGTTCTGTACCTCGTCTCGCAACCCAGAGGACCTGGGTTTGATTCCCGGGCGGGCCAAAACCTTAGGCAAGTTTCCTTACTCCACACTCTTGTTTACTCTATCTAGCAGTAAGCAGCTGAATATGGACAAGACGGAAGCCATACTCCTTGGCTCCGTTAACGTCTTCACTTCTGCAGATCTAAACTCCTCAACCTCCCTGGGTTCTCCCTCAGACTCACCGAACCAGTGCACAACCTGGGCGTCCAGTTCGACCCCCAACTATCCTTCCTCCCCCACATCCAGTCCCTGATCAGGACCACCTTCTTCCGCCACATTGCCCGCCTCCAACTGTACCTTACCCCAAATTCAGCCAAAATCCTCGTGCATGCGTTTGTCACCTTTCGCCTGGATTACTCCAACGCACTCCTCGCTGGTCTCCCCAGTTCCACCATTCACACGATCAGCTCATTCAAACTCTGGCGCCCTCATACTGACCCGAATCAAACTCCGTCCCCACATTTCCCCAGTTCTGGCCCAGGCTCCACTGGCTCCCCATCACCCAACGGATCAACTTCAAGATCCTCACTCTCGTGTTCAAATTCATTCATTCTCTGGCACCTCTCCCTATCTCTCTGACCTCCTCACTCCCCAATCCACCACCCGGAGCCTCCGCTCAACTGGCACCAACTCCTGCTCGACCCTCGCACCCTCCGTCCCACCATCGGAGGTCGCGCTTTCAGCCACTGCGCCCCAAAAATCTGGAACACTCTCCCTCAATCCCTCCACCTTGCCCCTTCTCTCCCCTTTTTCAAATCCCACCTGAAAACCTTCCTCTTTCACAGTGGCTCCGGCTCCGCCACTGTTAAGCGCTCTGAGACGTTACCCTGCATGGAGGGTGCTATATAAATGCAAGTTATGTTAAGTATTAATCCACTTGTATAATAATAATAATTTGGTCACTCAATCCCCTGTTTGTGGGACACTGCTGTGCGCAATTGGAGTTTCTCCTCGTATCCTAGCCCACAATCCTCCAGATTAATTGGTCATTCACTTCATGGCTGTTTGAGAGACCTTGCTATGTTCAAACAAAAAAGCCAGTGCATTTGACAGTAATTATTTGTGAAAGACTCTTGAGACATTTCAACACATTTCAGGTACTATAAAAACACTAGTTATTTCTTTCCTCCAGTTTGGCTCCATGTTTTCCCTGTGATTAGATGGACCTTTGTTATGTGGATCAGGGAGCACTGGGAGGGTTTGTGGGGAACATTGCCTGTTTGGGAACTCCGCAACCTGGTTCAGGTGGGTGACGGACTCTTTTCGTACAAAAATGAAGCTTCTTGTGCAGCTGATTTGAAAAGTTTGTCTGGTCACTGACGTCTGTTCAAGAAACTCTGATCTGATTGCTGTGAATAAAGAGAAAATCCTTCCAAGGTGGTGGATCGATGACTGCAGGTCTAATTATTACCAGAGAGAGATAAAAGGGAGAGAGGCTGTGATGGCTGGAAATCTGAAATAAAACCAGAAAATGCTGAAAATCCACAGCTGGTCAATCAGAGTCTGAAAGAGAAGGATATGGTAATATTTTAGATAGAACCATTCATCAGTTCCAACCTGCAATGATAACCTGGCTTTCTCTGTTACATCCTGATTCCCCTGCTAAGGATTTTCCAAATTCTTATCGCCGATTCTACCAGAGAAATGAGACTTGTGGGCAAACCATTACAGTGAGCGTTTTGTGCTCACAAGTGAATTGACTAGATATTTTATGGGTGAAACGCAGCAGCCAATTGCGCACAGCAGTGTCCCACAATCAGTCGTGGATTGAATGACCAAATTATCATTATTATTATTTTTAAGGGATTGTTTCCCCCAGAAAAGAGATCCGCCAATCGACTATAAAATAGGTTCCTACTTACTGCTAGGTAAACAGAGGCGTGTGGAGTAATGAAACGTACCTAATGTTTCGCCCTGCCCAAAAATCAAACCCAGGTCCTCTTACTTGCGAGGCAAGAACTCTTAACTACTGAGCTACAGGATTTTAAAATGGAGGCAGCGAGGCACCTTGAGATCTCAGGTAGTGAAGTCAGCCTCTCCGGGTTTCTCCTGCGTTCAGAGGGAAGGAGAGAATCTGCAGTGATGAGTTACCTTTTGAGCATTTTGGAAATCTGATAGCATTTGCCAAACCGGCTGGTGACAAATGGGCAGAATATCAAAGCTTTCTAGGAGAATCCGCACCTCCTATAGAGTGAGTGCGTGCGTGTGACCGGGATTTTTAGTTGTGCTTTGAATCCTATGAAAAGATTGCCATCACTTTCCTGCACCTACCGTGATTTGGAGTAATGGGATTTTCACACCTATGAGCAGATAAGCGGGAGCTCACGATCACATATCCCCTGTGTATTTCCTTACTCCATTTCACACAACTCAGTGATTCTAGTTTAGTTCTTACTTGGCGAGTAGAGGGATAGGGATGTTAATCATTACAATAAGCGTGTATTCGCCTCTACAGCCTGAACCATTCAGTCAGGGCTCCCGGCTCTTCGTGAGAGTTTGAAGTGTGCTTGCTGAATGCTGCTCAGGTTGTCTTCTGTCTGTGTGTCTGTTGTATCAGCAGGTGTCTGTAAAGCGTGGGTTGTGGGTGTCTCATGTACGAGAGAGAGAGCGAGAGAGAGAGTGCCAAATCAGCTCAAATGTTTACTCGGCTTCAAACTCAGACACAGACCTGCCATTAAACACTGCACGACATTTCACAAGCTTCCCCCCTCCCCCGGCCCCCCCCCCACCAAAGTATAAAAACCCGATTGGTCGTTTTGAAATAATAAATTTTATTTTGGGTTCGTTTTCCTTCAAAGCAGCAATGTTAGTTTTGCCTCTCAAATATGTGAACCATGGTGCTGTTTGCTGAGATGAGAATGGGAACAGCGCCAAGGGATATGTTGGCAAAAATACCAGTCGCATGGTGTGTTTTCTCTTGGTTTCTGCCAAAGTACGCAAAGCTGCTGAAAAAAATCACTAATGGAGGCTGGCATGTTAAAATGAAACCTATTGCAGCGTTAAATATTCGTTCAAAGTTTCCAAAGTTTTTTTTTGCTTTGAATCAAAAAGAACCCCTCAGTTTTGAGGGGATTTGTTTAGCTCCACAGTCTACATACACCAACCCGGTTAGATTTGCTGCTCTCAGCAGCCAAACCCCAGAGCATTAGAATTAACTTGACCACTGAGACTTTATCTCACACGCTTCTTATTTCTTCCCGTCCAGTGAGAACGTGGACGCCTACTGCCTTCACATCGCCGAGGATGACGGGGAAGTGGATGGAGACTTTCCACCTCTCGACTCCAATGAGCCCATTCACAAGTTCGGCTTCAGTACGCTGGCACTCGTTGAGAAATACTCGCCGCCCGGGTTGGCAGCCAAACAGTCTCTCTTTGTTCGAATGTAAGTACAAGCATTAACCTTTATTTGTACTTGGGCATGTCCTTCATTTTGCCCCTCAGTCTTTGTACAGATAGTTATTGGGTGATTGAAGCCGAATGCAAATTCGCAACAGAGACTGGGGGAAAAGGTCCAGTGTTTTAGGTGTCAGGTCTAACTCTGTGGCAGTTATTTTTCTACCATGTGTAAAACTACAGGTTTAGAAAAGGTGTTGGAATGCAATCAACCTGTGCTTTCTCTCAGTTGTAATAATGCAGAACCTTGTACCAATATCCTAACTCCTGATCAGTACAGTTAGAGCGCATTGTGTTTGTGTGTTTATGATCTTCCATGTCTGGGTGTGATTTGCATAGTGTTTTGCTCTGAATCCTGCTTACGATGGAAACAGCCCATATATAATGCACCATCCTATTCAATTCTGTGTAAGGTTTCTGCGGTTTGTGCTCAATGACTGAGGGACATCTGCATGGGGGAATTCTTAGGGTTTTTTCGCCCATCTTTGATAATAATAAAAATTCTAAATAATCCTTGCATTTGATATAGCACCTTATCACGTCGTCAAGACTTCTCAAACCGCTTCACAGAATATACTGTAAAGTGGAGTGACTTTACATTTCGTAGGCAAAACGCGGCAGGCAATTGAACACAACAGTGTCCCACAAACAGTCGTAGATTAATCTTGACATCTTAGGTTTGTGAAGTCCTGTAGCTCAGTGGTTAGAGCACTCGCCTCGCAAGCAAGAGACCTGGGTTTGATTCCCGGTAGGGCAAAATGTTAGGCAAGTTTCCTTACTCCACACACCTCTGTTTACCTAGCAGTAAGTAGGAACCTGGTTGTTAGTCAATTGGCTTATCGCTTTCCCAGGGGATAATAATTCCTTCAAAAAAAATAAATAATAATAATCCTTGCATTTGATATAGCGCTTTTCACGTCGGGAGGACGTCCCAAAGCGCTTCACAGAACACACTGTAAAGTGAATTGACTGTATGTTTGTGGGTGAACGCGGCAGCCAATTGCGCACAGCAATGTCCCACAAAAAGTCGTAGATTGAAAATGACCAATTTTATTATTGTTTTTGGTTTTGGAGGGATTATTATTAGTCTTTGTGTGTAGTAAGGAAACTTGCCCAAGGTTTCGCCCTGTCTGGGATTGAACTCAGGTCTCTCACTTGCAAAGCGAGTGCTCTAACCACTGAGCTACAGGACTCTAGATTTGGTTCCTCAATCCACAACTGTTTGTGGGACACTGCTGTGTGTAACTGACTGCCACGTTTCGCCCACAAAAATATCCAGTCAATTCACTTTACAGTATATTCTGTGAAGTGCTTTGAGATGTCTCGAAGACATGACAAGGCGCTATATCAAATGTGAGGATTATTATTATTTATTTGATTATGAACTCAGACAATAGACTGTCAATGTTGCTGTTTGGTTAGTGATTTGGGGTGAAATGTACCCAACTCCAAAGTATGTGATTGAAGAATTAATTCTAACAACTAACTGAAGTATCTTTGGGATTATGTTAGTGGGGACTGATATTTCAAGCTATGTTAGTATTATTAAGTGCAATCAGATGGTGAAAATACCAGTGTAGAGTCTCACAAAGTAATCTACGAAAATGTGAACGGTGGTTAACCCTTCACTGGGAGACGTCTAGATTTAGATTGAGACAACAACAAGATTACATTTGTAAAGCACCTTTCACGTTGGGAGGACGTCCCGAGGTGCTGAATGTTCGGGGATCAGGACCCTATCAGGAGTAAAATGCGCTCTGTTAGATTGGCTAAGGTTGTCTGTTAATTCCTGTTTAATTGCCACCAGCACAACATTCTCCAAATGAAAACAGGAAACAAAGGCAATTAATAATAATCCTTGCATTTGATACAGTGCCTCATCACGTTTTTGAGACGTCTCAAAGCGTTTCACAGAATGTACTGTAAAGTGAATTGTTAAAGAGTTGAAAGAGCTACACAGGCTTCAACCTCACCACAGCCAGAAGTTTCTGACAAGCTCGGAGGTTTCCCAATAATTATAATGAGATAAGACAACAATGTGGTCCTCGTGGTGCTGTTAAGCAGCATTCTCTACCTTTCAACTCGGATATTGACCTAGTTTTCTGAAATGTACCTGTTGCCCAAATTAGCATACAGTTAACTGTGTTTGAACAGCGACAACACGTCCGTACTTAATGTGGTTGTAAGGAGCAGCACTTTTCTGAGACTTGGAGCAAATAAATAAAATGCTTCAGAGTTGCATGCAGTGATAGAACAGTACAAAAAAGGAAGTGTTTTTTTTTAAAAAAAGGCAAAACCATTTAAAGCATCTGTAAGGATACATCCACATAAGCCATATGGTTGGATTGAAGGCTGAAAAAAATAATAATTTGGTCGCTCAATTTACGACTGTTTGTGGGACGCTGCTGTGTGCAATTGGCGGCTGTGTTTTGCCCACAATTATGCAGTCAATTCACTTGACGTATATTCTGTGAAGCGCTTTGAGATGTCTCGAAGATGTGATAAGACAGTATATCAAATGCAAGGATTATTATTATTACAATTTAGATTACAGCAACAATGTATAATTGTATGCAAATTCTGTCCTAATGGGAAAATACTTTAGAGGGAAAGAGCACGCATCTGTTGGACAGGTTTATTACGATTTACCCTTTGATTTAATTAATCAGTTATTCCATTTCCACTGTACTTTTTTTTCATTTCCTCATTGCCTTTATCCCTTTTCTTTTGAAGAATGTGATCTTGCAGCAGCCACAGTGCTGTTAGTGAGCCGCCTAATGCTGTGTGCTGATATTTGATATGGCTGCAGGCCAGTTCTACTTCTTGCCCTTCACATTTTTAGGCCATTACAATAGTTTATTCTAATTCCAGATTGTTGTTGCAAAGTCAGAAATGTTACAGATGGACTTCACGTAGATTTGGCATCCACCGAAACTGACACGGTTTCCTTTCTGGCAGAAGTTTCTGTCTGGAAACTTTTTTTCAGTTTGGGAATATCTGGAAGTTTGGAAAATGAAATGCAGATGCAGAAAGTGCAGATGTTCAGCGCTTTGAAATGACAAATCGGTCTAGTCTGTATCATGACAGTTTAAAATGAAGAGTGGAAAATAACTTAATATCCAAGAGAAGCCATCGTTTGTCCAGGATTGTGATTCACTGTGTTTTTGATTACACTAATTGTGCAGTGTATAAACTGTGCAGAGAGTTTGCGCTGTTTAACCCTTCACAGCACAGGCGGGGAGGAGGGATGTGGTGTGGGCTGATGCATTTGAACTTTGGGAGGAACAAGAAAGGACAGATCAGAGGTAGAATGATGACAGTAATGTTGATTACAAGTGAAAGAGGGAGAGAAAGGGAAGAAAGTTTGCAACAGAAAGGCAAGAAGTTATGTTTCATGTCGGGAGGATGTCCCAAGGCGCTGGACAGTCAGGGATTTGGACCCGAGCAGGAGTTTGGGATCAGGAGGGAGGGAGTGTGCGGGTAGGAGGGTAATCAAAGGTCAGAGAGGAGGGTGTTGAGACCCATCTTGAAGGAGCCGAGGGAGGGGGTAAGGCGAAGGGACCGTTGGACGAAGTTCCAATGGATGTGAAAGTCAGGGGTGAAGGAGAATCATCTCAGTAGATAACCAGCATTTCTTGAATTTTGTTTGAGTTGAAGCGAAGCAGAGGTTACGGAGCTACTTTGAGTGGGAGTACGATGATCTCAGGGAGGCCACATGTGAACAGTCTCATCCAGCCTCGGGTCACTGGTGAAGCCCATAGCAATTGTTTGGTATCAAAGTCGTCCTGTTGCTAACTTAACAGAACACCACTATGTTTCACCTGCAAAATATACAGTGAATTTGCTTTACAGTATATTCTATGAAGCGTTTTGAGACATCTCGAAGACGTGATAAGGCGCTATATCAAATGCAAGGATTATTATTATTTATATCATGTAATAAACTCATCACCTGTGCAACCGTCAACTGTGAAATGTTGAACAATTGTAACTTTGCACAGTACTCCACAATCCTCTAAACTCAGGGCTATAGGGAGGGCTTATAGGGTTCTTTTTTTTGGATGCTTTTTGTCAAAAAGCCCAAGTTTATCAAAGGTGAGTTTGTCTCAAAACTTTGTTCATCCTCGAGCTCAGCCAGCCATGTTGTTCAACTCAAGGCCGAGAGTCTTTGTTTCCAGCTGTCGTGACGTGACCTTAAACATCTTTTTACATTATCCTTTATTTTTCTTTGTGAGGTTCTTCTCTGTAATTGATCCTAAACCTTCAGCCACTCTGCCCCCAACCTCTGGAATTCCATCCCCCAGTCACTCCGCCTCGCCCCTCCTTAGCCTACTTCAAGTCCCGCCTCAAAACTCTCCTCTTCGACCATGCCATCGGTCACCCCCCTTCTCCTCTCCCTCCCCACCCCCCAACCCCAGCTCAGGTCTGAAATGCTGTCACTGTCCAGCGCCTTGGGATGTCCTCCTGATGTGAAAGGCGCTATACAAATGTAATCTTGTTGTTGGGAGTTGGGTGTTTGGGATCAGGAGGGGTTCGGACGCGAGGGAAACGAGCTGCACATGTCATGTGGGCCCGGGGCTCGGATCCTGTTACAGCAGGAAATGTTTGCACAGGAGCTGCTGCTGGGGGAAAAAATGTCAGAGTTAAGCGGGTGCCAACGAAAACTATTACCCAATCGAGTTTGTAAGCAAAGCTCAGTGGTTGTCAGTTTGTCAGTGCAAGTTGTTCTTGGTGTGTGTTTGATGCCTGGCTTAATGTGGTTGTCTGTGCAAGATGTTGGTTATCACGACTGGTAAATAATTGAGTTTGAATAGGGAGAGAGCCCTCATTATCATCCACCTGTGCCCAGCTGGAGGGGAGGGTTGAGATAAAGCCATTAAATGTCTTTTACTGGCACCACAAAGAGCTCAAATACATCTGCGTCTTATTTTCTGTTCTGGCACAATCAGTTGAGTGAGCTAAGCAGGCATGACCACATTTGGCAAGTAG